GCTGTAAATAAAGATGTTGGATCAAATGGCAAAAAAAAAAAGATTTCAGGATCATATCTCCTAGGGGGTGGGAGTGATGAGAAGGGACACTAAGTAAGGGGCTTTAAAAGGAGTGGGAGGAAAACCTGGCCTACTGAACTAGGAAGTCTGGAGGGTCCATAAGACTGGATATGAAGTAACCCAGGTAACTAATGGCACTAGAAAGAGAAAATCAAAGACCAATAGAAAAAAGCAATACTGCCTGGAGGCACAGAGAGGCCAATGAAAGACTTGCAACCAATTTCAAAGGGAGAGGGTATTTACCTTCCTGCAGGCCTTAGTGTCTTGGTCTCTGTCACCTTTTCCTCTCCATGAGAGGGTCTTCCAACTCTCTTTGGACATACTCTAAACTTTCTCTTTGTTTTTCCTAAATAAGATCTGTTACCTGTTACCCTGTGGGAAAAAAAAGAAAATACTATGTAACTGTGTTAAGCAAAAAGTTTCTCCCCAGTTCTGTACTTCATCAATTCACTTCCCTTTCCCTTTTCCCTCAGGTAACTATAGTTAATAGTTTGTGGATCCTTCCAGAATTCTTTCTAAACACACAGAAATGAATAATATATATATATATACACACACACTCACATATACACATACATGCACATGTTCGTTAAGGCTATACCAGAAAAATAAGATGTTTAGCTAATATTTTAAAATCATTTATTGGAAATGTTGGGGTGTGGAGTAAATATGTGGTTGCACATAAATTCAAAATTCTATCCTTGGATAATTATTTCTTGTTAGGTTGCCAGAAATTAGCAAATTCACATGCCTAAACTTGTTCTTTTTAGGGTATAAAAGTATAAGTTTATTTTATGCTAGAGAGAGGGAAGGTAGGAATACATGAGAAAGAAGAGAGCAAGGACAGAGAGAAGGGAAGATGGGGAGGACAACTTGTTTATAATACTCCCCTGATGCTAATGTGTTGAAGGTTATCAACCTCTATTACCACATTTCCTGCTACTGTTCTACCTTTCAGTTCATCCTTGTTATAGGAGCTGTTTAACCTTTCTAAAACACAAGTATCATTATGTCAATTCCTTAGTAAAAAACACCAAATTAAACCTAGTGGAATGAATGGTGGGAGGTAATGTGAGGTCAGACTATGGTAGCCCTTGAAAGTTGAATTTCAAGTGGTTAAGTTTTTTTTTTCCCCAAGCTCCAGAGCCATTGATACAAATGCTTTATTGAAACTAAACACATAATACATAAATTGAGATTAAGACAATATAGGAGTTAGCATAATCATTCTGCTCCTTGGCTTGTTGAGGCATCTCAGTGGCTGAGACTAGTCACGATGCCAACTCACAGGCAATAGTTCACTCATGACTTCGAGATTTGATGCTGATTCTTTTGTATTTCTACAATTATTAAATACATGTCTGAGTGGTCTGTTTTTGTTCCTTTGTGTTTTGAGGGCTGGCTGGGAAAGGGCTAGGGTTGTTTGTCCATGGCAACTGATTGTTTGCTAGGAGAGGTACATTGGATGCTGCAGATGTAACTATCTGTCTTCTGCCCAAGCTGACAGGGAGGGAGACTCTGACAAGCAGTGAAACCCAGGAAAGAATTAGGGTCTCAACCAGACTTGTGCTCTGGTAGGTACTACCAGTCTCCCTCAGTGCAGCCTGGCTCTGAGTGTGGGAAGGTGGAAATCTCCAGCTTTTCAGCCTTGTCCTTGAGTGCTAACATCTATCACCACTATCTAAACAGAGGTGTGGTTCCAGGACCCCCTGCCAAGTCATTACCTTGCTAAACTGGAGAGAACTATAAACTTTCTCCCCTCATTTGATGTAATCAATACTCATGGCCTATTCCCGGGAACAAGGGTTATTTGGAGGCAGTACTCAGGATTGCTTTGTTCTTACACATGTAATAAGATGTGTTCTTTAGATAAGAGGGTCTCTTGGTTTGAGGAAAAAAAAGTCCTAATCTTAATTTCATCTTCAGAATTAGGACATTTGTCTTTAGACTAAAACTTTGGAAAACAGAGTCAAATAGTTAAGGCCAGCCTAACAGGTATGATGAATACTACAAGGGTGACAAGTACACTTATAGCCATGACTCAAGCCTTATAAAAGTGATCCATGTAATCAAGATTTAAGGCAAGTGCTGTTAGTGAGATGGGAGAATCCAAGAAGGAAGGAATGCTCACAGAATCAAGTGACTGGAAATCTAGAAGTGTGAGTTACTGGATTTCCCCCAAATTATAAGAGATTTTGGAGATTGCTATTTCAGAAAGTGGGCAATTGGCTTGGTGCCCATAGCTCAGTGGGAAGGGCGTTGGCCACATACACTGAGGCTGGCCTGCTAAACAACAACTGCAATCAAAAAATAGCCAGCATTGTGGTGAGTGCCTGTAGTCCAAGCTACTTGGGAGGCTAAGGCAAGAGAATCACTTAAGCATAAGAGTTTGAGGTTGCTGTGAGCTGTAACACCACAATACTCTACCCACACTGACAAAGTGAGACTCTCTCTCAAAAAAAAGTAGACAATTCAGAGTAAGGTTACAAGAGGAAGCTATTTTGCTATATTCTGTGACATGGTCAGGTTAGTTTCTCACTTTCTATGAGCACAGCTTCATTACTACCTGGTTTCAACTGCAGTCTGTTCTAATGTCTTTTGGTCAACTCCTGAACTGTTTAGTCTAACCATCTTTTAAACTCTAGCTACACACCTCATTACTGCATCATGTCTTCACCAAAGATTACAATTTCCATTTATTTATCCATTCCCTGAACTCT